CGCTGTATTCCCCCCACGACTGAGCGTGCGCTGACATAGTACAGCTTCAAAGTGTTCAAAACATACGGATAGAGAAGATATTCGCTCAAAATATCACTTTGAGGAGGGAGGCAAACATGCGACTGTTATCTTGAGTCCACGCAGAGTTGCATTGGAGAAAACCTGCATACCTCTCATAAGAATATATCTTATATGCTGCATTAGCTCATTAACATACATAGTACACATTAATGATCATCAATATGGGACCGCTGCTAGCCTGACATGAAAGGTGGGCTGACAATACATATATGGATCTTGCAACGGAATTGTGAGGTCAAACAGAAGGCGTGCTTGAAGGGTCCGAGCTACTCATGAAATCGGAGGAGGAAGCAGCGCGCACTGTATGAGTAACACCACATTTCATGGCACCACGATCTGAGGAAGCTGACGTCCAAGAGGAAGCGCGGACGGTCTCATTCTCGAATGGTAGAAAGACCCCATTGTTGAACGAGGTTGTGTAAGCCCAACTCCTCCTCAATCTGTGGAAGCACATGCGTAAGGTTACAGCCACCATTGCGATCCTTTCACTGCGTTTGAGAACTGACCTGTTGCTTTAACAGTGCATCTTCTTGTCCCGCCGAGGAGCCAAACACAGCATCAATCTCCTCAAGCGAGACGTTCGCTGTCTCTGGTACGGTGTAGGTTGACCAGAGGTATCCGCAGAAACATGCGGTCGCAAAGACAAGGAAAGTGCCTCTACAGAATGATTAACCAATCAGTGTTTCAAACAAAAAATATACAAAACAGATCGCACTCACGAAGCGGAAAACTCTACGAGTCCTGGGACAATCAAACCTATGAGGACTACAAACGGGGTGAGCAGGCGATAACGAGGGACAATGTACATTGCGCACAGTTATTCAGCCAATTTGATGCAGTCGACAACGATACCCCTTTGCTGCGTACGGACAACGGGAACACTTCGCTAGGAAGAATCCAGCCGATAGGGCCATAACTTGTCCCATACGCAGCGGTGAACAAGTACACGCATCTGCAAAGACTTCAGTAACAGAAACCAGAGGGAAGAATTCTAGCAAAAACTTACCCTACAGAGATCCATGCAGCAAGAGAATGAGACGCCCAACTGTCTTCGTATTGCCAGATCTAACAAAAATTAGAACATGGCACAGAATGATACTTGAATACTCACTAGCACTGCGATACAGAAGTGGGAAAATGCCATAACGACACTTCCGCCTGCTCCACTGAACAAATGCCAACATCGAAGAAACAAAATACACGCACCCCGTAATAGTGTCTTTCGACCTGCGGCATGGGTCAGGTATGCCTACGTATGGGCAAATAACAAACCATGAACACACCTGATCGGTCAATAAATATGATTGCAGGCAAGACGGCAAGAAACTGGACGATTCCAATCCCACCAGATACCATAAGTGTAACGATATCTCCTTGTAACCCAATCGAATGCATAAGTGTGGGACCATAATATAGGAGCGCATTTATCCCGCTCCATTCTGCAGTGTAGTTCGCAGTTGAGCAAATGAAACGAACGAAAATTGCTCATGCGAACTTGAACGTACGTTGAAAGAACATCATCATGATTCCAATGGCAGTGCGCTTGAGGTATTTTCGCCCGAACAAGCGCATCCACCTTCGCGCCTCTGCTCTCAACAAGCCGCCTTCGAATTCTCGCAAGTCCCTTTCACTGCCAGTACCTGCTCGCGCGATCAACGCTGCTTCCGTCTTCATTTCTAATAGCTCAATCTAACCAAGAGAATCAGATATAGGGCGTGATGAATTAGACAATACAAACCTGTAGTAATGGGTCCGAAATACTCTCCTCAGGACTACGTCGGCGCAAGGTCGCAAGCGCGCTGAGGGCCTCTTCCGTTCTACCCTGCATCACGAGCAGCCTCGGAGACGGTGGTAGGAACAGGCACCCAATAGCTAGCAAGATTCCAGGTCCCAGCTGTATAGCAAGAGGTATACGCCAGGAGGATGAACCAGAGACTGATGATAGCAAGACGTCAGCCCTCAAATCGATGGTTATATGTACAGTAAGTTACAAACCATTGCGCGTGAAGAAGCCCGTCCAAAAACCTAACACAGCGCCGAGGACGATCGCAAACTGCTCCAGGGCCATGAGTGAACCACGGACCTCCGGGGGGCTGATCTCCGCCATATACAGAGGCGCAAGCATACTGGACGATCGATTCAACTCGGGAATGGCGACGTGGAGTTGTAAGAAGTACCTCAATGCACCCACTCCGAGACCACCCACTGCCCTGCCGAGGGTGAGTTGAAACAGTGTCTCCGCAGCAAATTGGAATGTGGACCCTATGCAAAATACGACTGGCAGGGTACTGCTGGTTTCACCATCAGGATGCTTAAGCGCAATGAGCGGAGTACCATACCACAAGCGACCAGGATAGATATTCTGCGCGAGCAGTGGTCGGCAAGCACCCCAGCCGCAAGCGCACCCATAAGGGAGCCGAGTTCGAGAGCGGCAGCTGGAAAATAAAGTATAGCATTGAGCGATGATTTAGAGATGAATGGAAAGGCCTCGCACTAATGATACCCTTCTCTAACGGCCCTATGGGCCACCGCTCCGTAAAGTCACGCATGACAAGAACATTGGCTATGACGCCTTGGTCGTAGCCAAACAGCAGGCCGCCAATTGACACGAAGACCGCACATCCGAGCGCATAGGAGTTGTGTAATAGGCCTGCGAGCCCCCGCGGTCCGTAAGCATACGAGTAGCCTTGACCCTCCGAGCCTGAGTGTAGAACAAGTGAACCTCCGCGAAGCGGTGTGTCTCTCGGAAGCAGAGGCGCATGACCGTCGTCGTCTCCATCACTTGGAATGGCCGCATACGTCGCGGTCCTGCGGGGCTATAGCCGTCTACATTTGGCGGATCGGTAGTACTTATGAATCTTGGGAAACGTACCATTACGAAACGCAGATTCAGCCCTGTTGTGGCTGATGTGAATCTATGGGCGTCGTTCCCCGACTGTGTAAATCTTGTACAAATTCGCCCAGTGAGAGTCGAGCCAGACTAGCAAGCCAGAGTGAGTCAGGCCCGAGTTAAGCCGCTCAAGCGCCCACTGTCGCAAGGCACTGAGCGCCTAACGTTAACTCTACTGCTTAGTGCCACGCTCCTACGAAACTCCAGGCCTTACTGTGCTACGTAGTACAATTTAAAACTACTGTATCATCCAAATTCGTGTCTGCTATTGCTCTGCAAGCTCGAGAACAGAAGCAACGGCCAGTTGCTTATCGTCGACATGCGCGCCGCAAACGCTCGCTGGCAGAGCGGCTGTGCTTAAGTGCATCGGAGAATGTTGCTCGGAGTTGGATGATTGCTGGTCATGCTTTTAACTTAATTTTGTGAAATGTATTCAAGCACATCTCATCCGCTTAGTAGTGTCTCCTGGCCAGACGTGTATGCTTGGAGATAGCTGTTCATTAATGCTGATGTGTGAAGGCCCGCACTTAGCGCGGCACTATGCTGCAGGGCTATTTTGGAACGTACGATGAAAGCCATGTTGTGGGTGATTTTCATGGAATGGGAATTGGTTGGTTGATTGGCCTCATTGAAATCATAGTCTACAGACGCATCAGTGCCTTGCCGTGAGATGAATGTATGCGCCTCGAAATTCTTGCTAGCAGTTACTGCTACAGGTGCGCTCGTCGGGCAGAAAAAAAAAAACATGAAGCTCAGGAAGAGAGTCAGTGGCCATAGGGAAGAGCACAGGAGGTTCGTACTACATGGACAGAGGATCAGTGGCCAGCAGACAAGCCGGCGCAGTGATAAGATATATCTGGCACCAGTTCACCGCAGGAATACGCAGGCAAAGAATTGGATACAGGCAGCTCAGAGCTGATTGTATGCGCCAGGATGCGGATTGAAATTCTTTTCAGATGCCATCATCGTCATATGTTCAAAGTTTGTAGCGCGATTCAAGACGACGATACATAGACGTTACAAACAGCCATCAACGTCGCACTAGATCAAATGTTATCATACTGTACAGCGTGCAGTACAAGTATCTTGTGAGGGGGATCGGCCCATACGAGGACTACTCCGACTTCCAGACGAGATAAAGGTAGTCGCCCTTGCGACCCTTATTGATATCCTCAGTTGACCCATTCCACCCCTCAGGAACTTCACGAGGGTCTGAGCTCCGCAACAGCCCAAGTGCGGTGATCTTGGCGGGGTCCCGAAGCGCCAGGACAATGTAGCGATAATCACCTCCCGCACCGGCAGCGAGGTCTTGTTTGGTAGGATCCTCCTTTGACTGAATGGCGATGCTCAACGAAGACAAGGCGTCGGCATGGACGTTCGTCTTCACAGGGACCAACCATACATATCTTCAATAGTTATGATGTTGGAACAGCAATGATACTGTTTATTAAAATGAAACTCACTTTCCCCCAAAGCCAGCGTTGATGTCGTCGTTGCCTCCCTTAATCTCTAGGAGGCGCCCCGGCGGTGCTTGCGACTGTTCAGTCCCGTAATGAACCTGGAATCGCATAAATTAGCAATAAGCATTTCAATCATAGTGAAATCGGCACTGACCTCGATGTTAGAGAACCACGGCATGGTACAATATATGTTGGAGAATGTACAGGTTGTGAGCTGTATGGGGAACCTGAGGAGCAGAAAAACATGTGTGACTTATATACTAGACGGTAAGAAGGTTCTGGGGGCATAAGACAAACCGCAACTTGGGATAAAGTTCGAAGGAAGGAGTGTAGAGTTTGGCGACAGGATACATTTGCCATAGCAGCTTCCCATCGCGCAAAGTCAATTGAATCATCGGATGTAGTTTTGAGATGAATGGAGCATAAAGCAAAAGGCGACCCGTGGAGGAAGGCAGAGTTTGCTGACACGGTACTAACCATTCTAAGTCCAGTAGCATGCTGTACTTGCCACAGCAGCTTCTTATCGCGCAATGTTAATGAAACCTTCGGACGAAGTTCTGAGATGAACGAGGCACGAAGGCAAACGACAGATTCTGGTAACAGGATGCTAATTGTGGTGAGCGCGATAACCTGCTGTACCTGCCATAGCGGCTTCGTATGGCGCAAAGATGTAATCCTTCGGATGGAGTTATGGGATAAATGAAGCATGAGACAAACAGTGACTTGTGAAGGAAGATGGACTTTAGCGACAAGATACTAACCATAGCGAGGATAACCGTACGCTGCGCTTGCCATAGATACTTCGGATTGCGCAAAGCCATTGTAATGTTTGAGGGTCCGGAACTCATTTGTTAACATGAACTTGCTTCTAGTCTCGGATTGTATAGCTCTTAGTGTGTAACCGCCCATATAATCTACATTGATACAAGCCTAGGTACCTCATGTATTCAGCAAGAACAAGGTTCAAATACGTGACACACCTTGTGTGCATCGAAAGCAGTTCATCCCCAGAGATGGGTAGACCAAGGAAGAACCTTCTGAGTAAGACCTAAAAACCAAAAGCGTCAAGTGCATGGATGTATGCGTCCAGTACAATCTACTTACTAAATAGGTGACTCCATGTTTCGGCCATAACTGACAGTGAGGACATACGTTGCATACATTGGTGAATTGCGGATCACGACAGGACCTGTCTCATCTATACATCCGCATATGAGAGAACGAATTCTTCACGAATAGCACATACACCTGCAGCGCTGAGCAACTGCTCGGGATGTGTATGCATAAGCCATCAACTGTGCACAATACGACGGTGCGTGAGAGAATATCGCGCACTGCGCGACTTCGCTAAGCATGGTAACGAATGATGGCGTCCAACCTGAAGTCAATGTCGTCTTCACTGGGCAGTCTGCGACGTGAGATAGATCGTATACAAATTGGGAAACGGTGTAGATCGGCTGAGACATCATGTAGAACTCAGTAACAAAGTTCAGAACAACTGAATTGTTGCAGTACGCGGATATCTCTTTGGGCGCAAGCTAAACTGTTGATGATATTATTGATAAGACAAGATAGAAAGGCAACACCAGACTGAGCTCTAACATGAAAAGTGTCGACGTTGTAGGCGAACCCACCGATATTGGGACTAGATTCGCGAAACCCTCAACCCCGTCATGTTATCGCACGCCCTCGACATCTATTCACCCTGACCCAGCTGCAGCCTGCAGCTAGCTCAGCGCAGCGTTCCCAGGAAGGATTTTTGCTCCCTTGGATGCTTCCGCCGAACCTCCGTCAATGTTCAGGTACATCGCATACGCGCTGAAGGGTGCCCACCGCCTAGGCATGGTCTGGTGCTGTCTGGAAGGAATAATATGAATGTCTTTCAGCGCGATGTCGTTAACGTTGCTAAGAGTTACTCATGATGCATCGAGTCTGATGTCGAGCGAAACGTCGCTCCAGCATAAGAAGTTGACTTAAAGTGAGCATCCACAATTCAAAGGCTCCATGCCACCGTCCTGCGCGACTAAGGTCGCTTTGAATCAGTGGATCGCGTTCATGAATGTATGAAGTTTGTGGTCTCGTACCCAAACGTGTCGAAGACTCGTCTGGGGTAGCTTAGCAGAGACCCCCCTTCCAGAAGCGCCCGCGTAGCGCCCTATGTAATGGTCACATTGGCTTTCTCGGCTCGTGATTAAACTGCCCGATTGCCCATTTTTAGTAACTACGCCTCGCAACCTGAGCGCGAGAGGCAGTCGTAAACGTCGACTTTGGCGGCCGGGGAGGTTTATACCACCAGTTGGAAAGAGTTGTAAGAGAATTGCTGTGGAGGAGTTGAGTGCAATTTTGATTACTTCAGCTCAGAGCTTCTGGGAATAATGTTGCTGCAGCCTTATTTTGCGAATAAATGGTATCCAAAATCTTGAGCATAGCACATCAGCAAAAAGCGAGCGAGAATACCTACGTTTAGATAGGATTCTAATC